TTTCTTCGAGTCACGCACTTGACTCGAAAAACTTCACAAGGATCTGTTGGTGGTGGATTCTCACCAACTTGCTGACTGACTGAAACCCAAGCCTGTCGGTTTTATCTACTTGGCACCACCAGCGAAGGTCGAGAACTATCCGGTTTGGTGTCATCGATCCACCGAAAGTGGCTAGCTCTTCAACCAAATCTTAACCGCCTCTACCTCCCGGCGCGAAATTTACGATCAGAGATTTGTTTGATACTTGCTTAGAGTGCCAGTAGAAGATTGAAAATCGGAGAATATGACTAATCAATAATGCTTACAACAATGATATATTCCTCGTTTGATATCCTGATCATAAGCAACTACCTTTGTTTACTTATTATTCCCGGAGTATAGACTTTTCCATCGAGATCAATGGAGCCTTGCAAAAGACTTCAGTCCAGTTGATGTGCCTTAGCTAATATAGCTTTTTGTTGATGCCATGTGAGTACTAGATGATGAATCACTTAACATCCATTCAGTCTGATGCTTTTTTTTCAATTTCATGGAATATGCGCTCGATCATATCATCGTAATTGCGGATCAACCAGCATACGCAGACACGTGATTCAAAAGGGTCACAATTCTGAAAAACACTGACATGGCCGTCAAGACGTAAGAAGCGGTAAATACACCAAAAACCTCATTGAACAGGTCTTGAAAAGGCAAGAGAATGCAGAAAGTATTGCGAAAAGCAACCCCTCAAGCAACATTGGAACTGTCTTCTAAGATCGGAATCAGCCTGAGCATCGTTATACATGACAGAATTCTGGTAAAAAGTGCCCGGCTGGTTGCTGAAGGAATTATACTGGCTTGTTTTCTGTCAAGGCTGCTGATCTTATCTCCGGTTTATGATCCACCGAAGATGACGACAATCAAACAATGAGGTGAGACTCATCATTCTTCGACTGAGCTTGTGTTTTTCATAGCTAACTCAAGAGACGCTTTCTAGCCCCACTTTGCATAAACAGAGGAGGTTGGGGAGTTATGATCATATCATCAGATCAGGCTAGATATTAGATAAAATATTTTGCAGGCCCTAAGCAAGGACTATAAATACACTTGACGAAAGAGGCATCTTAGGACGACAAAAATTTAAGAAGTGTCCATTGACATCTATCGATACTCCTCTTTTAATATCTTGCTTCGTGTTTCACTTTTCATTCACTTGCCTCATTCCAATTCTTTATCTCTCGCTTCATTGCTTCACTTCGTTGATATTTTACTATCTTAATTCATATCCACTTTCCGAGCTCTGGATATCTTCAATCTCTTGCTTCATATATCGATTTGGTACTCTGAACTAGTCTTCAATCCTCGAAACCTCTGATCATACGATTTCTTCATTTTTTTATCTTTCGTATCCCATGAGGGTTTGGACTATTACAAGTTATCCCACTTCGTGATTTCGTATCAATCAGAAATGGATCCGGTCACTCTCATATAAATGGTCGTTTTTTGAGCTATGAGACTGGCAATTTCGCTTGCACGCTGTTCTATCAATTCTCTCAAGTTATCATTCAACTTGCGATGAAACGTCCGAGCTCTGGGTGCAAAGATGCGCCGTAATTTACTCTCAAGGAGTTGAATCCGATTCTCAGTTTTTTTATTCGACATCTCTCTTGTACCTCTCAAATAGCGAAGACCGACTTAGGCATTCGCAGACCTATCCTTTCCCCAAT